CGGGCTGCGGCTGAGCGAGGGGCGCCGAGGGGTCCCACACGCCCCCATCGCCCCTGCGCAGCGCCCCAACTTCCCGTGCGAGCCGAGCGCAGCGCCTGCCGTGGCCGGGACCCGGGCCGCTGCTCCCCGGGGTGCTCGCTTCCTGCCCGACCCGTGGACGTGGGGCGGATCACCTTCGTGGGCTTAAGTGAAAAAGGAGAACGCCCCGAGGTGTGGCTCCCCACCGCGCGCGAGGGAAGGGCTACCCGGGGCAGGGGGCTCCGTGCCACCGCTGGAAACCGGGAGGAGTGCGAATTCTGGGGCCCCCACTGACTGCCTCTCGGCGGCCCACACCCCGAACTGTCCTTGGTCACCTCCTCCCAGCTCTCCTGGGACCCGATCATTCTCTACGTGTGAGGTGGGGAAGTCCCTGGGTGAAAAGTCAGACCTTCTGTGGTTCTCTGGTTGGCCTCGCCTCTACGCCGAGCCCTTCACCCTGGGAGTTATCGCAGGGTACAAGCGCAGGCGGTGCTCTCCTGCCAGGGCCTACAGAAGTGCTGGCTGTGCTTATTGCGGGATTTAATATTTGCCCCCAGGGCTCAGGAGAGATCCGCCAGAGAAAGGGGTGTAGGAAGGGTGGAGGAAAAATGTTTTTTTCAGGACTGTTCCTTCTGAAGTAGGAGAAACTTTCGCCTCCAATCCCGTAGTCGGGCTGTTACTGTATTTCAGCTCATATAGGGTGAAGTCAACTTTTTTGGGTCAGTCTGGCTGATGAGCACGCTTTATTAACAATGTATCTGTGGAATACATTGTTTTGTTTCAAGTTCCCGAAAACCAACTAACTTGAATTTTTAGAACTACCCATGCTAGAGGAAATACTTTGTAGCATAAAACTGTCAGCTGATGTTAATAGTTACTTTGTGCTAGCGCTCGTGGAGTAACCATGCCAGTTAAATACTATACTGCTGCACTTAATGGGAGCCAGTTTCGTGGAATAAATCTGTGGGGTATTTTTCCCTTTTTTAAAGAAGAAAAATTGACATGTGGACATAGTAAATCCCCTTCAGTGCTAGTGGAGTTTTAATTTTGGACTAACTCAGCAAATATCTGCTAGTGGGTCCTGGATGGAGAGAGGAGACTGACCGGTCCGCGTGGGTACTAGGTGTTCAGTAAATGTTCTTTTCATTCAGTGTGGATTTGTGGACATTTAGGGGGATGCCCCCAGTGAAAGAATGTATTTTTATTTGCTTCTTACTGAGATCTGTAGATTTTTGGGATGGCCTTTGAAAGGCTTTTAAGTCCTGTTTGGACCTTAGACCAAAGACGTCCAACCACCCCTCCCCCACTTCTTCCGGTTCAGAGGCCATGGAATGTGGCAAGCCCTCGCGTGATTTGGGGGCAAGGACATGATGTAATGAAAACATAGATCTGTGTATTTTTGCTCTGAACTTGGCAGCTGTGTGGTTGTCCTGCCAAATCGATTTTGTGCCAACATCGGGTCACAGCTCCTCCGTTGCGCGCATGGGTCACGCTGACCCTGGTGGCAGTGAGGTCAAGGCTGGGACCAGGTGGTTTTGCGCTACTACTTGCTCTGTTAGGACTGGGCTAACGGAATGCAGCTGGCTGTCCCAGGGGTGCACACTGTAGCTGCGAGGGCCCCAAACCGGGAGTTTCAGCTAGATGGCACCTGCGGCTCTGTCACTGCTACTGGGGTTGTGGGCGGGGAGGCACAACCCAGCTTAGTGAGGGGCCATGAGGGACAACTTTGATTTAGTGCCCAACGAGGATAAAGAATTCTTTATCCTCGCTTTTAATCTGGTCTTGTGTTTTGACAAGAAAACTTACAAGGTTGCAGAAGAGTTGTAAAATTCTGAAATGAGCATGTCTGACCAAACTCCAGAATGAGAACTGCCCGGGGAAGCCCTTTGGGACGGTGCCCAGAAGGACACCAGCCCGCACCCTGCACCCGCTCAGTCCTCCCCGCCAGGGTTCCCTCCAGCCTTAGAACAGATCGCGCTGCTCTGGCTGAGCACTGCCCCGACTGGGTGGCACATCTGTTCTTTGCACAGTACGCTCGCACTGGATGTGGTGAGATGCTCGCAGAAAGAAGCAGAACCGGGGAACAAAAAGCCCACCTCCCACTGCAGGCGCCCTTCGGGCCGTGGGGCCCTTGGCTCCTCTCCCTCGGAGCGTCCCCTCCCCTCCTCCACCTCCCAAGCACACACTGAATCACAGATGTGAACTCCACAAATTCAGTTTCACTGCTGCTTTCTTTTTTTAATTCAGTGAAGAAATTGCCGAGCATTTAGTATATACTGAGTATGTACTGAGTGCGGGGAATACAGTAGCAGAAAAGAGTGTTTGCCGTCTTGGCACTTGAACTATATGGATTTAAACATGACACTGGGGTTTCCTCCCGTGATCTTCCAGGAAAGAGGGAGTGATACTGTATTTGAGGCGCTTATTCAGCAGGAATAATTCAGCTCTCTTAGCTGGCCTAGAAAGTGCTCGTTAGAGAAGACACTTTGCTTGAAGCAGACTTGTTCAGTGCTGCCTTTCGGTGGTTATTCTTGAGGTCATGTGTCAGAAAAGAGCCAAAGAGGTTTCACAGATTTTACTGAGGAATTATTTTGAAGAAATCACAAGTATCAGTGCTGGGTATTTTTGTAAGTGGGCAGTTAGTTTGGTTTGTTTTCTGTTTTCCTACAACCTGACTTTTAAAGCAGCCCAGCGAGGGCTTACCCTGTAGACGTGCATACCATACTTACTAGACACATGGGAAAAACCCCAAACACACCCCAGTGCCACCACAGTATGTGGTTGTACTTGAAGCTTGGGATAAAGTTTCCAGTGCTGTCTGATTCCGAAATCAGATTTGGCATCGCAGGCAGCTGCGGATGCAAGGTGCTGATCCACGCTGTGACTCAGACAGCCGCAGGTCTAGCGATGGGGAATGACGTCCACCATGGCAAGAGCGAGCAGAAGCCATCATCCTACTGGCATATTAATTTAAATGATGGTTGAGTTTAAAACATGTGCACATAACTACATTCATGCAGTATTATATGTGATGCTTGGTTATAGCAACCTGAGAAATTTCAGTGACCACAAACTCCTTTTTTAAAACAATGTACCCTTTTAGCTTCTCAATGGAAAAAATGCAGAGTTGATTTAATTTTGAGTGCCTTGCGTTTGTGGTGTATGTGGTTGGATGGTAGAGACCTGACTGGTAAGGAGCAATGATCACAAGCGTATCTAAGCTGCTGCTGTGAGGGAAAGGCAGAGGTTTCCAAAAGAGAAGAGAGATGGGGCTCAGGTCACCTGCCTGCAGAAAATGACACCCGAAAACACCTGCAGCCAGCATGTTTAGGGAGAAAGCACGGGGGTGGGGGACAGGGAACACAGAGTGTTAGGGACTGCAGATGCTGTAGTGGAGCCCTGAGGTGGACTGCAGGGAGAAGGAGGCTTCCAGCATAGAGGTCAAGAGGAAAGCTCTGGAACGGTGTTGTGCTGGGTTCCGGGGCAGTGCTGAGAACTGTGCGACGCTTGTCCAGGGGGTTCAAGCAGGGAATTGTGTGCTCTTCGCCCCCCGCAGTGTATATCAGCCCAGTGCCTGATGGGAAGGGCTTGACACTCCTGACATGGCGGCCCTCAACATCCCATCCTCTCACCTCTGCAGGTGTGGACACTGCCAGCGGCTGCAGCCGACATGGAATGACCTGGGAGACAAGTACAACAGCATGGAAGATGCCAAGGTCTACGTGGCTAAAGTGGACTGCACGGCCGACTCGGACGTGTGCTCTGCCCAGGGAGTGCGTGGCTACCCCACGTAAGTGGAGGGAACGGTCCCCACATCCGTGTGCAGTTTTCTGCAGCCAAGAAAGTCCATGCTGTGCTGCGGTAACTTCCTGTGTAGGTCAGAGGGGAGAGGAGATTAGGGATGGAGCAGGAGGTCCTGATGTAACATTATTTCAGGTGCATTACCTACTTTGTTGGTGTCTTGGTTACTTTTTTCTCGTTGCTGGGACAAAACACCTGACGCCCAAAATTAAGGAAGGAAAGGTTTATTTCACTTACAGTTTGTGGAGGTTTCAATCCGTACTTGGCAGATTATAAGGCAGAGTGGCACTTGGCAAAGGCTGCATCTCAGGGCAGCAGCACACAGCTAAGCAACAACCACACACCAGGGCGGAATGGGGGAGGAATGTCCTCAAGCACTCTTTTCCTCTCCCTTACATATGCAAACTATTCACCCCAGGGCGGGTGTAGCTCTCACACCCACCAAACTCTAAAAGCCTGCCCCTCAAGCCTGGCTGCTTGAGGCTTTGGGGGGATGCACAGATTCAAACCATAACAGTTGGAAAAAGCCTTTAATTCATCAGTGTTGGATGGAGAGTATGTTAGGGGACTGGACTGAGGGTCTGAGATCCCACATATATGGTGTCCCCTGGTGCAGTTCACACTCTGCACATGTAGACTTTGCTCTTGGTTTGGCCTTGAACTTTTGGTGACCATTTTTCTTCAGCACCTTCTCTGGCTTACATCTCATGTGATCAGCACAGGGCTGCTTCTGTTGGAAAGAAAGATAACCAGAGTGCAGTGTTCTGACAGGTGGGGCCGCTCCCTCCCTGACTGCCAGGAGTGTTTCTGGTTTTATGAAACAATTACAGCTGTAATCCAGGGCTATGCTATAGCACACAGATTACAGCACTGCTGCGGTGTGAATAAGTGTCCCCGAACGTCCCCATGTTACAGCCTTGGTTCCCAGGGTGTAGCCCTGTCGGGAGGTGGCACCTGGGGGAGGAGGAGAGGACATTGGAGACCTCTCCCTCCGTCTCTCTCTTTCTTCCTGGCTGCCCTGGCATCTTGCTCCCCACCATGATGTGTGGGTTTACTGCAGGCCCAAAGGACTGGACAGGCCACCGCAAACTGGAACCTTCAAAACTGAGACAGAGTAAACCTTCCTCTTCCTAAGCTGCTTATGTCAGGCGCCTGGGTGGAGACAGTCAAACCAAGGCAGAGAGGATGAGTTGAAATGCTGTGGGCGGCTCCGAGATGCGGCGCTGGGCCTCGGGTCCTGGTTCTGCTGCTCCTCTCTCTACGTGAGAGAACTGCTGCATTCAGCGTCTCCCTGTCCCGTGGAGAGTGACGGGTGCTGTGGATGAGAGTTGTGTCGGGGTGGTCACTGTGGCAGGGAGGCAGGACCTTGGAGGCGGATCCGCACCACCTGCGCAGCAGAAGCTGTTTCCGCAGGAGCGGGAGGGGCTGGACCCTGCAGGTACCTAAATCTGAGTCACGGCTAAGAATGAACCCAGTTCTGTGGATTTGGTACTTACTTGAGGAATATAGGGGAGTGCTGATCGCATATAAAATCAGCACTGATCTTCCCACATGCGAGGCAGCGTGAAGACATGCGGGGAACCCCTGGGCTTGAGCACACACACCCGGCTGGAGTCTCAGCTCTGCTGTTCATGTCCGCTGTGGCTCTGGCCCTGATGCTCGCCCTTCAGGGAGAGTGGTGACAGTGCCACCCATGGAGGCAGTGTGTGCATAGACACTGATGTGAACACACCCAGGCAAGGTTAGGGCTCCGCCTATATTTGGAAACTTGACTCCCAAAAAGGACCCTGGAACTCTTGGTCTCCAGTGGCTGCCTGCTAAGTGGCCGCATTCCAGCCTACATTGTGTCAGACCAGTCAGGAGGAGACGTCCTGTCTGTGCTCCTTGCTGAGGACATCCGCTGCCCGGTGCCTCATAGCCTTGATGTTAAAGTAGCCTCAGTTCGGATCTAGAGCATTGCAGAGAAACAGCTGGGGGTGGTGGGGAGAGGAAGAGGGGTGAGTGCTCCCGGGACCTGTTGCTTCCCAGAGGTAGGTCCTGCGTCGATGTGTCGGCTGTACCTCTGCAGTCTGATGTTGCTGAGTTCCTGCGGCCCCACAGCATGGCCCGGGGCAGCTGAAACTGGAGCCCTCATGGGGCTCAGAGGGCTCGTGTCCTGGGTAGGTGGAAGGAACTTTAAAGGGTTCCACGCAGCCTCGGTCAGACGCCATAGGCTGCAGCATCAGATTTTCAGGATGCCATTCACACACTTGAAAAGACCCATGTTGGGTCACGTGTCTTCATTTTTATTTTGATGTTATTATTTTTGTTTGTTTTTTGAGACAGGATCTTGCTATGTAATCCAGGGTTGCCTGGAACTCACTATGGAGCCCAGGCTGGCCTCAAACTCTTGACAGTCCTGCCTCAGCCTCCCCAGTGCTGAGACTATAGTTGTGTGCCACCACACCTGGCTGCATTTTTATTTAGAAGATATGGTCACACCCGAGTAACCCAGGCACTAGTGTTGTATTGTTAAGAATGAAAATGAGCTCATGCTATAACAAAAATAGTCTGAGAGGGAAGTCCCGTGCCCCTCAGAGGCCTGCAGAAGTGCTGAGAACAGAGTTGTGGAGCAGTCACACCGAGGCAGTCGTAGATGGATCTCTCAGACAGTCCCACCCCCTGGAGTCACTGCAAGGGCCTGAAGCAGTGGTGAACAGAAAAGCCTGAGCGTGGGGGCTGTGTCAGAGTGTGACCTTTTATGTCAGTCTCTCTGGCACATCAGGCCGGAGTAAAAGATTACAGAGGGAGGAGTTTGGGGCCCTCTAGCCTCTAGAAATAGCTGACTATCCCCAGGAAAATGTTTGAGGGGCTCCACTGAGCCAGGAAAGAAGAGGATAGCATCAGTGTTAGTCTCCTTCAGCTGCTTTAACAAAGAACCACATAGGTGGGTGGCTGAAAACAACGGAATGTATTTTCTCACAGTCCCGGAGGATGGAATTGTAAAGCGAAGGATTCAGTAGGGCCACACCAACTCTGAAACCTGTAGGGGATCCTCTCCGCTTCTGGCTTCTGGTGGCTGTCTTGGCTTCCTTGCTGCACATGCGAATCACGCCCAGCACCCTGTGATCACGTGGCTTTTGTGTGTGTGTGTGTTTGTGTACATCACATGTGTGTATCTCTCTCTGTCCAAATTTCCCCTTATAAAGATGCTGTTTCTTACGAGAGTCCCATTTTGAGGTTATGAGTTAGAATTTCAGCTGTTCCGTTTGGAGAGAGACAGATTAGCTCCGTACCATATATTGTACACGTACCCCTCGTTTAACAACCTGCCTGTTTAACGACCGTTCAGACTTACCACCCATCGCTCGGACTTATGGCCTGCAGTCGGACTGATGATGCAGGTGGCTTCTTCTGTAGAACAGTACTGTCATTTTTGCTGATTGCACTGTAAAGTACAGTGCTGTAGTCTTATGTTCTGTTGTATATCACAGTACTGCATGCACGAGTTAGCAAATAAAAGCAAAGCACCAAGCTGGAGTTTCCTTTGACCATTTCTTGGGAAGGGTAACAAACACCTCCCAGGGAGAAGCCTGAGATTCTGCGCAGGAGCACGGAAAGCTGCATTGTGGCTACAGGTTCTTGCCTGGCTTTTAGTTTCCTTGAACACTCTCAGAAACTTCTGAACGCTTCTCATTGTGTGCACACACCGCCTCCGAGAGCATTGCCTCTGCTTCCCTTCTGGCGTTATCAGAGGGAGGCAGAGAGGGCCCTGGCCAGCTCGTGTTCTGCTTGGCTGCCTAAATGAGGGCGCAGACTCGCACCCTGATGAGACTGGGCCCTCCTCTCAGAGTGGTTTGGGAAGCTCCAAGCTTGTGCTTTGCCTAATGCTCTGCTGTTCTTGCAGCCTGAAGTTTTTTAAGCCCGGCCAGGAAGCAGTGAAGTACCAGGGCCCTCGGGACTTCCAGACACTGGAAAACTGGATGCTGCAGACGCTGAACGAGGAGCCAGCTGTGAGTGCCCCTCCCTGCTCCCCGCTCCCTACGTTTTGGGGGGTCTAACTGGGCAGAGGCCAAGAGTAGCACAAAAATCAAGACGATTGTTTTAAAGTGACTATTCTTTAGAATTCATTGATGCTGTAAGTAAAGGAAATATCCAGCTGCACAGAAGTGGACAGAAGCATCCAGGGAACCCCAGCCTGAGCAGGGATCCCCACTTGCCCACCTCGTCTCCCCCGCCTCCTCCCCCTCCTCGGCCGTGTCAGTGCTCAGGGGCATTTATAGTGGCTGACTTTCTGGTCTCACAGACGAGCACTTGTTACTTCTCAGCATAGCCATCCTGTCACTCCCCGTGAAGAGCGAGAATAGCAGTTTCCCAGCACCGGGGTTGACGTGGGGCTACCAGGAGCTGGGGCGAGGCAATGCCAGAGTGTCCTGTCCAGGCCAGCTTGGCACTTCGGCCCCTCTCCCCAGGACCTTCGCCCCACTCCATGCCCTGTTCCTGCTGGCTGTACCCGTAGCATGAATTCTTTCTCTTCCCAATCCTCATCCCCTGGGGCCCTAACTCTGCTGACAGTACAATGAAATACCCTTCATCCGTGCTCTTGCCGTGTCTGCAGCTCCCTGCACGAAGGGGACTATCAGAAAATGGTGGGCAGTGTAAGAATGATAGGAAAAATGTAGAATCCTCTGTCTGCCTGGCTGATGTTGGGAGTGTTCATTTTGTAAACCATAAGGATCATAATAATCGTTATAATTTTGTGCGGTGCTTTCTGATGGATGGTAGGAGCTCGGCCCACGGAGGCTGGGTTAGACTTCCATGGCTCGTGCTGCTGTCGGTGGGACTGGACCAGTGGCCAGCAGTCCCCGCTGCCCATCCTTGGTGAAACAGCAAGCGTGTGGATGTTTCTGCATGTAATGCAGTGTCTGTGGTTAAGGTGCTGTGTTGTATCGGGTAGGCGCCCTCAGATCGGAAGCGGGTGCAGCTGCTGGGGTTGCAGCGGGTGCGTGTGGTTCCTCAGCTCTGGCCTGTGTTCTCTGTAGATGGCAGAGCGGATCAGAAACTGCTCCGCCAGACCTCAGATTGGAAACGAACCTGTGGTGAGGAGTGCTGCTGTGTGATGCTCCACAGGCACGGGCCAGAGACTTATCTCATAGTGGGTCCCGGGGCAACCGTGAACCTCTCCGAGAGTAAATTTGCATCTCTGCCGTGGCAGGAAAGCTGGGTGAGCAGGTGTCACTTTCATAGAGATGTCACTTCCCATTGCTTCCTCTGTGAAAATGTCCTCTTTTGAATGGGGCTGGTACTGGGTAGGAGGAGGAACAGCTTTAAAGAGTCAGTAGCTTCAAAAAAGAAAAAAAGCCTTTAAAATGAACTTTGCACCAGAAAGCCTGGCTTTTACGACTTTATGCAGCAGCCAGTGTGAGGAGGGCAGAAAGGTTTCACCTGGTGAAGACGTTGTCTCCCAAGCCAGTCCCCCTTAGGGGAAGTGGCACCTTTGGGTGGAGTACCAGAGGCGGAGATGTGCTGAGGTGGTGTGCTGGCTCCTCGGGCCGGGGAGGGTCGGCCACGTGGCATCCATCCCGGAGCTGCGGCTGCCTGAGCTCCATGGTTTAGTCTCTGAACAGCAGGGACCTCCAATAGTCAGAGGCTTTCGAATTTTTTGGATTTTGGAATACTTGCAGACACATAATGTGGTAACTTGAGGATGAGGCCTACACCTGGTATGAAATTCATTTATATTGTTGGGCTCCCTTCCGTGCGAAGCCTGATGGTAGATTTTGCAGTGTTCTTCGCGTGCCTGCTGTTGGACTTCACCCTGTCGCAGGTGTGGAGTTCTGGGGCATTGTGTTGGGTCACTGGTTTCAGGCTTTGAAGCATTTTGGATCCTGGATTAGGAACGCTCAATTTGCATGGCAAGCCAGAAACACTTTTCAGTTTGAATCTAGCTTTTTAAGGGGAGGCTTTTAAAAAAGTTTTTCATCTATATTTTTACCAAAATAACTTAATGTGTACATTTTTATATTTGTGCAGAGTAAATTTAGAATTTTCCCCTTAGAGTTATGGTAACACAGAAAAAATTACAAACATAAGAAAATCTGTTTTTTACATTCTGCCCCAATTTTTATATTTGTATTTGCTTTTATAGAGTTAAATAATCATATAAATATTTTCCTTAGCGATTTTATGTAGTTTGATTATAGTTTGTGTTATCATATCATGGATTTGCCATAGCGTGTTTCTTCTATCTGTAGATATTTCATTCAGTCATCAGAAGTGTTGTACGGAACATTTATCTTTGTAAAGAATTATTTCCCTTTCTTTTGTAAAAAATTATTTCCTTTTCTTTTAAGTGAGGGTTTTTAGAGTTTATTCCCAGACATAATTGCAAAGCCAAAAAAAGGACCATTTTCATGGCTCCTGATGGGCATTTCCAGATTGCTTCCCTGGGGGGTGGGACGGCCTCCGTATAGGTGGGGGTCGGCTGGTGTGTGCCAAGGAGCACGCGTGGAGCTGCTGCATACGAATGTTTCGCTGCCGAAAGCCCTCTGCGTGTCTCAGGGCGGGTGACACGTGGCTTCTCACCTCACCTTCTCTGGACCCGCCGCCTGTTCCCTTTCCGTCCTTCACCGGGTCCTGCCCCTTGCGGCACTTAGCACTTTGGAAGCCTGGACAAGCCAGGGGCAGAAAGCAGAACTTCACCTGCTTTCCGATTACAGCTCCTCAAGGCTTTGGGCCATCAGCACTTTAACCACGAAGCCAGGATATTCCTTTAATAGGAACTTGAACTGCAAGATGAAAACTTAGTAATATGCACCAGGTATCTGCAGCAAAACACGGATTCCATGATCTTTTCTTCTTCTGGTTACTTTGGTTGGAAGCCAGACATGTACCTGGCCTCAAAACCTGGGAAGTTCAGCATCACATAGCAGTACAGGCACTACATGTGCACCTCGGTGTCCCCCTTGGGCTGGCTGTGTCCCCCTTATCCGGCCTTCCGCTTCCCGTGGTTTTAGTTACCCAAGGTGTGAAAATATGACATGGAAAAATCTAGAAATAAACAATTTGTGAGCTTTCAATAACTTTATTACAGTTTGTTATAATGGTTCTGTTTTATTATTACTATTAACCTCTTACTGGGCCTAACTTATAAATTAAACCTTATCACAGCATGGTGCGTGTTTAGTAGTAGCCCCTTTGATAGTGAGTATCCGGGGCCTTGGGACACATTGGCTACGGAGCAAGGGGCCTGCTGTACCGGCAGAAGCGTCTTTTAAAAGCCATTCTTCCTTCTTTGTGCTTCTGCCCCAAACTTAGTGGTGTGACTTGCATTCTTTCTTGAAAGCACAGCCTGTGAAGCCTGCCCCATGGTGTTCTGTTCGCTGCTTTTCGTTTACTGGATTTCCCCCTTGTGGACCGGATTCCCCCACTCGTCACTTCCTTTTCCCTTTACAGTGTATGTGTGACCTTCCTTCCCCATTTTCCTCCCACTCATGGGAACCAAGAGTAGCCAGGCCCTCCTGCTCCCTGGTGGGTTCTCCTGTGTCCGTCTTGCCTTCTCTGTGTCCTTAGATACTAGTCCCTCTGCATTGGCCCATCAGGAAGCTGATTTTGTAGTCTCCGAAATCTCAGCTTCCACTTCACAGCAGAGGACTGGGTTTGGGGCGGGACTGTCCTTCAGCTTCTCTTCGTTTGGGTCTTGGCGTGGGGACAGCTGTCACTGGCTGCCCAGGAGCTTCACTCCTAGGCTGGCAAGGGGCTTGCTGGGGAAGCGCCTGACAGAAGCGATCCCTGCCCTGGCCTTGCTCAGCATGCTGGCTTCATACTGGAGCGAGGCCGGCAGGTACAGGTGAGCATCTGCAGGAAGTGTAGACCCAGGCAGGCCACGTGGATGCTGCACTATGTGTGCGCAGACTAACTGTTGTTTTGTTTCTTCTTATTAGACACCAGAGCCAGAAGTAGAACCTCCCACAGCGCCCGAGCTCAAGCAGGGGCTGTATGAGCTCTCGGCCAGCAACTTCGAGCTGCACATTGCACAAGGTAAGGGGGCGAGCCTGGCGGGCATGGGCGATGCTGCCTGCTTCGTGGAGTCAGTGCCAGGATCTGTGACTTGCAGGGCTTTTCTTCCTCAGCACTGGGGCTCAGACAGCAGCTCTACGGAACCTGTGAGGACTGCTGTCTAGTGCATCTGCTCTCAGGCTTCCCTCTCCTCTGCTCTCTGCCCCCATCGGCACATCAGGCCCAGTGCCAAGCTAAGGCCTGAAGGGTGGCAGGTTGGAGCTCACAAATTACAAATTTGCATAGTTCATACCCAGTGTGGATAGGAAAGTATTTATATTAGCGTTGGTCATGCTTACTGACCTCAGGCACACACAAGTACTTCCGCCTGTTTAAACAGAAGTTTAGGTATTCTTTACACTTAAAGTATCTTTCTCTACCACATTTCATACTTTGGAAGCGGTCTCCTAAACGTAAGAATGCTCAGCCTGCCTTCTCCCACGTGAATAACCCTCAGGTCCCTGTTCGCATGGGTGTGTTTCGGTGTTCAGAAAAGTGGGCCCAGTGGCCAGAAACCAAATGCAGCTTCCGTGCTGGCTCCCATTATCCAGCGCTGCCGTGGGGAGAAACCCTCCCGAAGCTGGGCGGAAAGTGGTGTGAGAAAGGCTCCAGATCGCGTGTGGCCTTGTAACTTACGCTGCCGGGAGTCGGACCCCTCCTGTCCCCTCACACACTGGCTAAATAACTCAGTGGGCTGCCTTCAGCCGAGCAGCAGTGGGGCCCCAGCGTGCGCTCCGCTGTAGAAGATTCACTTTGGGCTCTTCGCAGGGTGCTCTGCCCAGGTAGCCTCCTATGGCAAGTCCCTGCTGCTGCTCCTGGGGGCGTCCTGTAGAGGGACGAGGATCTTGCCGTGCCTGCTGGTTTCCCAGGGGTACTCTGCTTGGGTTTCTGCAGATCCCGCTCCGCCCACTAGCAGGGAGCTTGGTAGTGACCTGCCGCCTGCACACACCCCGGTTAGGCCAGGTTCGGCCTCACAGATCAGGTGCTGGGTTTAAAATCAACGTTTCTGCGTTTCGCTCGCGGCCATCACTGCAGTGAGCGTTGGCGTGGCAGAGCCGTCCTGCTGGGAGCCAGGCTACCTTCCTGTTCACCCCTGGCCACAGCCTGGGCTCAGGTTGGAGTCACCTTGACACCGGAGTGGGACAGCTCAGATAGAGACCATCAGTGTCTGGATAATGTCGTGAGGGTGTGATTTCTTTTCTCCCCTGGCCGAGAGGGTGATGCTGTTTTTCACACCTTCTGTTGTACGGCAGAACATAGCACAGGTACAGAACGCAGATGTGGCGCTTGGTAAAGTGAACTGTCCTGGGACCCCCGTCCAGCCTCTCAGGCCCCATCCAGGCCACCGTCCGTCCTCCTGCCCTCCCTCACTGCCTGAGGTGGCGCTCTCCTGCCCTCTGTGAAAACTGTTTGTCTTTGGGGCTCACGTGTGCACTCCCAAGCATGGCATTTCGTCTGGTCATGTTCATATAAAGGTAGCTGTGACTCACCACAGTCCGACTTAGGGTTTTTCAACTTTTCGTTGTATTTGTGTGGCTATTAAATGCATTTTCAGCTTACAGGAGGTTTAGCAGGACATAACTACGCTCGGTCCAGGCATCTGTTTGTCCCTCTTTGAGGGCCTCTCCGAGCTGCCTGGCCCCCCATCGCAGCACTTTCTTTTGTGCATTCCGTTTGCTAAGCACAGTTCATTCCCCGCAGTCTGGACTTTGCTGACTGAACTCGCACGAGAGGTTTACCCATTTCCCAGAGTTCTCTGTTTCCTGTCAGCCAGTGTCTGATCTAGGGATGTGGTCTCAGCGTGATGTGTTCTGGAGGCAGAGGAAGACTTCATGGCTGCTGGTGGCAGAATGTCCAGTCTCTGTTCACCATGGGCCTGGCCCTCACAGTCACAAAAGCGTCCATTCGTTACGTTGTCAAGTGTGACTCCTGATTCCGGCATCGCTTCTTGCCTTATTTTAGCGAGAGAAAGTCCCCCTGGCTTATCACTTGCTTAGTTGATGGTAAATACCTGATTCTCTGACTTTGCTGCTAGCCTTCTACCTATGAGTCGGTTCCCTGCTCTCCTCCAGAGGTGGCAAATTTGGTTTTATTGTGAGCACTGCTGAAGATCCCTGGATTTTCTATGTGTGGTCACTGTACAATTTAAGAGGTTGGGACTGAACTGAGATTTGCTAAGCCAGAGGACAAAGATCTGATTCTTCAGTGAAAGCCCTCGGTGGGTCTGACCTAAGTTACAGTGCCTCTTTCCCTTCCTCCTCTGCCTTGGCATCCCCTACAGGCGACCACTTCATCAAGTTCTTCGCTCCGTGGTGTGGTCACTGCAAAGCCCTGGCCCCGACCTGGGAGCAGCTGGCTTTGGGCCTCGAACATTCGGAAACTGTCAAGATTGGCAAGGTAAGCGAAAGCCAGTATTAAACGGGAAATAGACTGCATTGGGCCGGGTTAATTAGCAGCTAGCCCTTTATTCATTCCACGTGCAGAGTCGCAAGCTGGATGTATTCATTCCATGTAGTGTGCCACCTGACAGTTCCTTTCACCTTCGCAGATGGCAGCCTGGTTCTGAGTTTGCTAGTTTTTCCACAACCGGGACAAATTATGACCTTGGCTGCTTTGTTTATTTGGAAGAGATGGCCAGTTCTGAATTGGCAGCTGGAGCTCTTCTTTGAGATACGGGCTGGGGCCCTGAGACTGTTCCGTGGGTGCCTGTGCTCTCTCGGAGCCTACCCTAAGGACCCTCAGCTTTGCACATTGGCTCGCACAAAATCCGCTCTCACTGTGGCCCGGGGACCTTTCCCACATGACATAAGAGAAGCCAGGAGCGGCATCCAGTGACGTCTCTGGAACCCAATTTTCTGGAACTACCCAGAGTGGCCCCTGAGCCACTTTTCCTCTTATCCACTCTCTGGCACACCCCAGACATCCTGCGTGGATTTCTGTTTTTAACAGTTTCATTTTTCCTACTTTCCTATGGAGCTCCTCTACATACAGAAGTAGCGCTCCGGGTTTAGGTATGATAGTTAATAGGGCAATCTGTTTAGGACAGGGAGATGGTCGAAAGCATAATTTTGGGGTTCGGATAGACGTGAGTGGCCAAATTTGCGGTGAAACTTCTCGCTCTCTGCAAAACAGACAAGATACTCTGTGTGCTTGTGAAGGTGGAAGTTCCTCGGTAGGGAGCAAATGCTTAGTAAATGCTAATCATTATTGTTAAATAGATTTTCATTTTTGCCCGTTACTTTTGGTAATGTGTTCTGATTATGTGTGCTGTGATTGTCATTTTGTGTTTACTGAACATCCCCTGGAAGTAGTTATAATTTTCTGCCTTGCCCCTTGCTTGTGTCCTTACTCAGTTATTTCACGGACTTTTATGGGAGATTATTTGTACAACTTTGTCTCAGCTGAGGCTCCTGGGCGGCCCAGGCCTGAGCGGTGGGTCGGGTTCGGGCAGACTCTCGGCATGCTGGTCCCCTCCAGTGACTTGGGTGAGGCCTCCTGCGCTTTAGGCTAACCCTTCCACCCTCCGTCACTGCAGTCTTAGTGCTGAAAGTACTGTGCTGACATAGTGTCAGACAGCTGGGTCCTGCTTAGCCCATTTTAATGCCAAGAGAAAATCAAAAAGAAGTGATTCCGAGCAACATGTTTCTTGAGGGTGCTGGGCAAGCAAAATGTTTAAAGGTTTAAGTGAAATAAAGCTTGAAGAGCTGTGATCATTGGTAAACTCACCTTCCAGGGTTAAGGACAGAATAGTCTCAGCCGGACATTTTTACAATTCTTTTCTGATGCTAGGGATCGCCTCCAGGACCTCCTGCGTGCTAAGCATGTGCCACCACACCTCAGCCCTGCATCCCCGTCCCTGTGGAGTTTTAGACTGCGTAAGCGTGACCCGAGAGCAGGCTTCCAAGCTGGCACTGAGCCCGCAGAAGGGTCCTGCTCATAGCAGATTGGCTGCAGCCCCTTCCGGGTGTCAGCCTAGGTTCGCTGATGCCAGTTGCTGCCCTGCTCAAAGGGAATGCTCCTTCCTAAGAATTGGTGTTTTCAACTGAATTAAATCCTCTCGGAAAAAAATCTTCCTTCCCTGTTCCTCAGCTCAGGTGCATTGTGGAGTAGCTTCTAGGAAGTCTCTCCAAAAACCGCAACTTGCTGGCACAGATGCTACAGAGTGTGGGATTTTAAAAAGCTTTCTCTTTTAAAGTACAAGCCCCCTGAAAGTCCTTCAGCTATAAGGCCGTGAGGAAACTGATGGTGCTTTGTTTTCAGGTGGATTGTACGCAGCACTACGGACTCTGCTCAGAAAACCAAGTCCGAGGCTATCCCACCCTGCTGTGGTTCCGAGACGGAAGGAAGGTGTGTCTGGTTCTTGTCGCTGCAGAGGGCAGAGCTGCTGAGTGTGTAATGGGTGTCGCATTCCGGTGAACACTGCTGATGGCCTTGGGGCACTGGCTTGGAGAAATATGTACCATGGAACAGATGTTTTTCTCTTTAATTGATAAGATCTGGGTAACTGAGAGAAAAGACCACTTGTTCTGCTATTTTGAAACATTCCAGTGGCTCAGGTGATCATGAGACTAACCCAGCTGCCCAGACACGGGGTCCCTGTTCTAGTCACTGACAAACCTCACAGAGCCGGGAGCAGGGGTAACGCCTGTGCTCAGCCGGCTCAGCCGTCCCTCCATCTGGGCCTGGTCAGCGTGCAGCGTCTGAGTCCCCAGGCAGCTTGATGGGCCGCTGGCCACCTCCAGTCTAGACTCCCGCAAAGCCACACTCAGTTTCCAGTCTCTCCTTTGCCAGCTAGGTGGGAGAGGGAGCTGTCGTCACAGTGTGACAAGCCACAGCCAAGGAAGGACGGCGGGGGGGATGTCGATGGTCAGAGCACTGTGATGTAAGCAACTCAGCGGCCTCTCCCTGTGACCCTGGTCTCGGACAGGTGGATCAGTACAAGGGAAAGCGGGACTTGGAGTCACTGAGGGACTACGTGGTATCGCAGCTGCAAGGTCCAGAGATGGGAGCCCCTGAGACCGTGGAGCCCTCAGAGGACCCTGCGCTGGCTGCGGAGCCCACAGGGGACAAGGTGAGTGCCCGCTGCTGTGGGCCAGGGTGGGCAGAGGGCGCGTTCTCCTCACACAGGGACAGAGTGGCCGGGGCGGTCAACATCAAACCTTTTGTTCAAGTCTGATGTGCTCCGTAGGAGCTTGTAAATGCGAGAGGAGACGGATCCTGAGAGTAGCTGATGTTGCGAAGTCTCGAGACCCCTTCCTGTCCCACCTGTCACTTTGTGGGATCCTGTGCGTGCAGGCCGTTTGCTGAGAAGTATGAACTGCCGCCCCCTGGGCCACTTCTAGTCACTTTCAGAACTTGGTGGCCCCTGGGAGATCAGCAGCAGGGAGGTAGTGTGCAGGGACTGAGAGGCTTCCGCAGTCTGGACAGATCTGCCCCGAGGTGCGGAGGTGCGGTCTTCCTTCATTGAGGTTCCGTGGGGTTTTGGATGTCTTTGTTCTGTGTTCCTCAAGCCCCTGTTAGGCTTCAGGCACCACCCTAGGCTACCAAGGTTTTCCTGCCTGGGAAGGGGCTGGTCTGTGGGGGAGAAGGGAAAACACAGGCGAGCCCGAGTCACGGGGGCTGTGACAAGCGTGTCCAGGACATGGGACTCGGGAGCCACGAAGGGGAGGCACAAAGCCCAGACGTGACGGTGGAACCGCTGTGTGCTTAGGGCAGGTCCGGAGGGAGCCGGGTGGGCGGGGGGAGGGGTGCAGTGTGGGGAGCCCCAGCTGGAGAGTGGTGACCCTGTCGGCCAGCTGGGGGTGTCCAGCTCCATCCTGAGTCTCTTGGGAGCCCCTGGGGGTTTTGAGCAGATGTGAACGTAGGAAGATGACCCGCAGCTGCAGGTGTGGATGTGATGAGCTGCTAGATGGACCCTGAGAGACCATGAGTCCCAAGCTAAGGGTGTGACAGGAGGAGAAAGCGTAAAGTCCGGCTGTGGTGCGCAGGGTTCCTGTGGAGTCAGGAGACGCCGAGAGCCTGGCGTAGCCGCTGGGTGACAGGACCAAGCGCAGAGAAGGACCAGAGCAGGAGGCGGAGTGCGTGAGCGTGTTCACGGGGAGGCGATGTGTGTGGAAAAGAAAGGCCTTTCTCATCATTTCCAGAGCAGAGTTCAGCTGGCCCTCCATGCCCACAGAGTCAACCAACTGCCGCCGAAAACTAGTTTAAAAATTTTTTTTCTGAATGTGTACGGGTTTTCCTAGGCATTCCCTGAACAGTGCAATGGTTGGGGATGGTGCGTTTACATTGTGTTAGGTGTTAGAAACCAGCTCGCGATGATTTGAAGCATCCAGGCGTGCGTGTGTGCATTTGGGCCAAAGACTATCCACCCTGTGTGCAAGGGACTCGGGTATCTGTGGAGGGTGATGTCCTTGCTGTGTGGGGCTCCTGGTACTAGTCTCGGTAGACACCAGTGGACAAGTGCCGTTACGCTGCTGCTTCCCTCCCACATGACGTGCCACTCTCGCACCTGGGACAGTGGGGGTCCTCAGGGTGACTGGGTAACTGTGGTCCCTTGACGTGACTTGCTGGGACTATCCCTCCCCAGGAACCTCTGGTGGTTTGCAACTAGAAAAACAACCGAGCCACCTGCCCCCAGGGTGGCCTCTTACTGTTAGGGAAGGCCCTGGTGTCAGTGAAAGCTGAGCTTTGGGTTGAAGTGAAGGATGATGTGTGTTCGTCACGACTGCATCTGTTAGAGGAGTGAGTGTGTGTGCCGTGTGCTATAAAGGGCATCCCAGATTGACATAATTATATGCTGCGGAGGCTTTCACCACAGCTGTTCATATGAAGTTTTCCACCCCTGAGTGAGCCTTGCAGTGACCGTGGTGGCGTCTGTAGACATAGGGATGGTAGTGTTCTGAGATGGCCCTGCCACATGGTAAATAGCCAGTCTCTGGAAACACACAGACGTAATCCCGCAAAGAACAGTCAGGCTGGAATTGTTTTAAAGATGACCACACAGTGGCCTTCCCCGGAAACTCCCAGCCAGATCTTGCATGAGTGTTTTGCGCATTTCCTTTGCACATAGACAAAAGCAGCCTGTTCTACACGACACATGGATCGTGGCCTGTGCGATTGTACCTAGATCCCTTCTGTTAGGCAGAGAAGGTCAGTGTTCACGGCTGCTGGGGAGGGGAGGGGAGGGGAAGGCGGTGGATGAGGAGATTTCTGGCAGCCCAGGGATGTACAGCTCAGGCTGCACGCTCGGGGTGCAGGTCCAAGTTGCACTGCAGCCTCCAGGGCTGATGGGCCTGGTGTCTGAGCTTTTGGCCGGCTGCACAAGACAGTGCGCCCCCGTGCACAGGTTGTCCTGTCCCGCCGAGCTCAGGACCCTGTGCCCCGGGCAGATGCCTCTGCTGTGTGTGCGGCGTGAGAGCATGCATGACAGCATGGCAAAGAAAAGGCCGACTCCCTGTTTCTGCTCTGCAGAGCACCGTGTTGGCACTCACTGAGAAGAACTTCGACGACACCATCGCAGAAGGAATCACCTTTGTCAAGTTTTACGCCCCATGGTGAGTGGCTGCTTCCACAGAAGCTAGGTTGTTCCCGTGTGTTTAAGTGCCAGCCTGTTTGCAGCTCAGTAGCCAACTTTGCAAACTTAGCAGCAGCAGATACCCCGTTCACCCAGCAGATGAGGAACTGCTGTCATCACACCCTGTATTCGATAGGTTCCCATGCCATGGCACTTGGGATTGTGTATAGAGAAGGTTAACTTAAAGCTCAGTCTACTTTGGAGGAAACACACAAGTTTGATGGCGTCTGGCTACTTTTCCAAATAGATTTTCATTAAATAATGAACATGATACAGCTCAGCTCCTGGGTTTCTTTGGAATAATGTTACAGACAGACCCAGGAGAACTCAGCTTTCTGTTGGAGACACTGCATATGTGACCCCTGTACCTAACTGTTCCTGCCACTTGGTCCCTGGGGACCAGGACATGAAGGAAGTAAGATCACTGGAGACTGAGACAGTCTGATGAGGTGGGAAGAGGACAGGTCCTAAGGCGTGCTGTGACCTACAAGTGGTGATCAGAAAATATGGTGAACGTTTAAATTAAAATACGTTACAGTAAAAGACTCATTGCCATTAACCCCTCTCTGAATGCTTCTGACTTCAAACACACTTGTCATCCTGGCGTTCTTGCTGCTTTCTGAAGCAGTTCTGGAAGTTGTCCTTTGGGAGTGCCTTTATGAAATGTGATCAGAAATACAGCGAATGCTGCCGCCGGGTTCCAGCCAAAGGAGAGGCAGACTGGTGTGTCCTCATCCGTGGGATCTGTCCCCGTGCGCTTTCTGGCTCTTCCCCACGGTCCAAATGACGGTGGAAGGTAAACATTTTGAATCGATTTAAGACATCGAGGCAGTTACAACAGCACAACTAAAGACATTCACAAAAGAGGACTTCAAAAGTGTTTCTGAAAGTGGCAAGAACAGTAGGATAAGCGCGTTGGAAGTGAGGGCAGTAATGGCAGTGTGATTTGTACTGTGGTCAGTTTTTAAAGACACCATGGTTTTCCATCACACCTTCTATGAACTTGTGTGTCCTTCGAGTCCCTCGGCTCTCGTTGTGCTCAGCTGTGAAACGGAAGCTGGACAAGCAGAGTGCGTAGGAGAGTGTGAGATCCTTCACCTGAACAGGCACCAGCAAGGTCCTTCCACGTCACTTTTGCTTGTGCACCTGTCCGACCCGAAGGTCCTCAAGGGAAACCGCGATGGCAGGGATAAAAAGCCGTGAGGAAAGGTGATCCCTTGACGGAGGGGAGGAGCCCATGTAGCGGGACGAGGTCAGAAGGAAACGAGAATGATACACGGAGGGAAGGGAAGGCGGGAGCCGGACTTCCTCACGGCCGGTCTGAGTCACTGACCCATCAAGAAAATGAAGTTCTGAAATTTGACAGTGTTAAACCCTAAAATGTTCTCAGCATTCAAATGATTTTTTAAAAATTGTGACCACCTATCAGGTTACCCGAAAGTGTACTCTGGATGGTTTGCAATTCCTTGCTTGGGACAGGGGAGGAGGGATGAGTGTGCACCTGGGGGATGTGATGATGTATGAGTTCCTACGTGGCTGTTGACCGTCTCATACAAGAAACGAGGCTTGGTGAATGCCCTCAACACGGCGGTCGCCGTTCTGTCCCCAGGTGCGGTCACTGTAAGAATCTGGCACCCACCTGGGAGGAACTCTCCAAAAAGGAATTCCCTGGCTTGGCAGAGGTCAAGATCGCTGAGGTTGACTGTACAGCGGAGCGGGACGTGTGCAGCAAGTACTCGGTGAGTCCTGGCGGCGGCAGGCTGGGCGCCTGGGCACGGGCAGGGTCTCCAGGGGCTGGGAATGGGTGTCAGGGACACAACAGATTGTGACCTTTGAAGTTTGGTTTCACTCTTGTCTTCAGCCCGAGCTGTTGGCACAGTCTCACGGCCCCGGGGAGCGGTGGTTGGTACTCTTCTGATCATGTTTGCCGTCGTGGTCCTGGGAGCCAGGCCCGGGGACCCACACACAGGAGGCGGGGTAGGCTCCACCGCGGAGCCCTCTCCCCTGCAGTCCCGGCCCCACCCGCCTGTATCACTTCATTGGAAACCTTGGAGTCTCATTAGGTTGGGATGTAACAGATGTCATTCACTCACTAATAGAAACAGTCATGTTTTGTGCCTGGAAATTCTTACAGGAGCGAGGGCAGTGTGTCTGTAGAGGTGAAGGCGTGGTCTGAGTGCACGCTCCCAAGTCCCCCGGTCCAAAGCTATGTGCGTTTAAAGACTGGGTAACGTCGCTGCCGTGACACTAATCTTCACTGCAACTCTGGATCAGGAAGCGAACACCTTCCCTAAGGCTTTGCTTTCTAAACTGGGCCTTTTATCATCTAAATACATCCTTAAAAATTAGCCCTGGGATGTCCCAGCCTCAGCTGTGTGAGTCTACCTGGTGTAAGCAATCGAGTGTGATCCCAGCCCCTGGTTTTCAGCCTTTTCTGTTTCTTTTAAAGGTCCGAGGCTATCCCACATTATTGCTCTTCCGTGGTGGTAAGAAAGTGAGCGAGCACAGCGGCGGTAGGGACCTTGAGGCTTTACACCACTTCGTTCTGCGCCAGGCGAAAGACGAGCTGTAGAGACCCTGCTGGAAGCCGCCCGTCCCGCAGCGCCGGCGTACAGGCCTACAGGAGCGGCGCGGACGTCCGAGTTTCCGTGGTGGTGACTCACAGAGCTAAATGTACTAAATTGGCGGTATCTTCTCTGTGTGTGTTTAAGCCAACACACGCTGCAGATTCTTAAGTTTCTCTAAGTCAGTGTGTAATTCTTGGTCACTGTGCAAACAGTATTTTCGGGGTGATCCGCCCCCTTTAACTTTCCTTGATGAAATTCAGTGGTTTCCTTTGAGACTAACGTGGAGTCGAGGGAAATCAAATTGCTGGACTGTTTTTGACTTGCAAGTGATTTGGGCAGAAGCATCATCCAAAAGCCTAGTTTTTTTAACTGCCCTGGAGTCGTGGAAAGGTGGCTTTGTGGCGGGATTGATGGCTCTCTGATCCGAAGGTCATAATCGACTACTAATGACATGGTTGGTCTGTAGCTTGGAGCAAATTTCAAAACAAAAACCCACGCTCTGGAAGATCTGGATTTTCCATTGTTTCTTCTCAGTGCAAGAGGCCGGCCGTAAGGAAAGCAGTGGCGCGTCTGAGGCCTCCCTCCGTGCGGGCACCGCTCAAGTCAGCCGCTGTGCAGTCTGCTGCTGTCTGTTACTCACGAGGCGAGAGATTTCCTTAGTTCCTAGCATGAGCGTGCAGCCCAGGTCCGTGTGCACATTAAGATCCTGATGTCTTCCCTAGAACGGTGGCTGGTCCTGTCCACTCCCTCAGCGCTCAGCAGGTTCTGGTTGCATTTGCTGTCTCCGCAGCAGGACCATACCAGGCTTCTAGGCCTGGGTGTCCAGGGACCTGCAGCCCCGCTCCGGGCCCCTCGGAACAGCTTCTGCTCCTGCTCCTCAGTAGTCCTTGTAGCGGCTTGCTGTATGTTGTCTGCCTTCCAGGAGGTCGGCCTTATAAGGTATGAACAGCGGGATTCTTTCCGAAGACTGAAGTCGGCAGGGTTGCACAGGTACCGATGCTGGCGTCCTAACTCACACCGTCCTGGTTATTAAAGATTTTTATTGTCCTCTTGGGCACAAGCAGCTGTAGGACTAAGACACGTGTCTGTGTTCTTTCCCATCGAGTTCCTTTTTGTGATAACCATTCTGTGGCCGGTCCCCTTCCCCCCACCTCCCGGGCACACTGTGCACGCACAGCTGGCGGAAAGACGCTCAGAACAAGACCACGTCTACCGTCTGAGGCAGGAGGGAACAGAGGAGCGTCTCTGCCAGCCTCTGCCTTAAAGGACATCTTTATTAATCGCGCATGGTTCACAGGCGTGCAGTCAAAGAACCCAGCTTTCTCAAGAAGGCCAGAGCTCCAGTGGCTTCCGCTTTGCATCATGAGTCTTGTATTCAGATCACGGTGGTACGATTTGTTTACACTGTACTTTCTAAATAAACTTTAAAAACAAAAGTCTTGTATTTCCTTAAATGTTACAGCAAAATGGATAAGAAACAGACAATAAATTAGTTTCTATTTACAAAAAAAGCTATAAGTACAAACACTTATAGATTATAAATGTATTATTTAATCAGTTTAGTATGAATTGGTTTCCCAGTACATGATTGTGAAAAAGACATTTTAAAAATACTCTAATATTTAATCTGTATCTTCATTTTCTACGAGAGAACATTGTGATTTCGGTTCATAAACAGCACACTCACCTCCAGGAACCCACTCTTGGGCCAGGGCGCCCCTTTGTCCCCAGGGTGGCTTCCCTCGTGGGCCCTCACCATGCCGCCCTGGTACTGTATGGTGGACGGCAAAGGACCACGCTAATGGGTGGATGAGATATTAGAGCCAGTGCTCCAGAAGTTAATGAGCTTTGCAAAGAGCCCGTCCTGTACAGGAGCGGTGCGGAGTTGCTTTCAGATGTGGCGTGGTTACAATGAAAGCTGCTGCACCCACTTTGCACCCTGTGCAGCCTCAAGATCAATTGCTCTGCTTTTAGTTGTAGCAAAAGGGGCGTGGAAATGGGAGGTTTTGTTTGGACTGAAATACGGACATTTTCACACGAAGGGAGCTAGTGCGAACATGTAACAAACGAGACAAAAGGCACCTTTGCAGAGCCCTGGTAGGGTCCAGGCTGCTGACCCGGTAAGAACTCATCGCCCCTGGGAATAGAGGCCCCCTCCAATCTCTGAAAACTGCTTTGATCAATACTATAGAAGCAGCTGGTGCTTTATCCAGGAATACTTAACACTCCTCCAAGAGTCCTTTTCCTACTTCTTCACTAACAACACAAAGAGCTTGATCTAAAGCGAAGCCTAATTTTAGGGGGCAGAGGGGGCCTCAGAGTTGTGTTTCTGCAGTTCCCAGATCTCACACTCCAAACACCTCAACTCCGTGCCCTGTAGACCGGCACCTCACACATTCATGAGGTGAGCAAGCTATTAGCGAGGTCCTTTGGACATCTTCCTTGGGCACCTCATAAGGCACCAGCATGAGATGCTTTGAAAGTCTCCTCACCCCATTTCCAATGTGCTGCTTCGTTTTAGGTTTCTAAGGCAGGTGTAATCCGGGACTCCAAGGCGGGCTGCATGTCCCCAGCAACTGCTTTCGAGTTAATGGCATCCACAAGCTCTCACAACCATATTCCTGTATTTTTTCAGGATGACATTGGAGTTGTCGTCAAAGTAAAGAACAGAGATGGCGTTTAGTTTGGTTGGTGCACAGCATGGTTTGGGGACATACTCGGGATTCATAAGGTGAACCTGTGCCAGGAACAGAGCACACTGTTAGAAATGATGACACCGGGCGTGGGCTTTGTTCCACCCACACAGTAAAAACCGGAGGGCTCACCAGGGTCTGCACGATGGCGTGGTTGGTGGCGTTCATGTGTGCATTGAGCGGGAAGGAGCATTCTCCGTCACAGTAATTGGCAGCGTAGCCCTTGGGCGCAATGATCCAGTCCTTGATTTTAAAGCAAAAGGAAGCAACAAAAGATGAACACACGCTCGCTCCCGCACCACCTGTGCTCAGAACCCCGTGAGAAAGTGGTATACATGCTGGAGAGGTTAGGAGACGGGGAAGATTTGGCATTTGTCCAAATCCACGTGGAAGGGGCGAAAGCTGGGGTGTGAACCTGGCTGGACCACATGGCTCTGGCTGCTCTCTGCTGCTAGGCCAGTAACAGTACAGATGGCTGTCTTCATGGACAGGTGCTCCTAGACTTCCGGCTGGTGACACCACCGTACATCAGAAATGCACTTAGTCAACCTAACCTACAGGACATCCCAGCTTAGCGGCACAGCACACTGTAGTGTCCCTTCCCCTCATGATCCCAGCATCATGAGAGAGGACTGGACCGTGACTGCCAGCCCAGAAAGATTAACGTTCACAATTCAGAGGGCAGTTTCCTTGATGCCGTCATCAAGTTGAAAAGAATCCTAAGTCAAATACCAGGGATCGTCTGTCATGGGACCCACGAGACCCTCCTGAGCTGCCTCTGGTGCTATCAAAGTAGTATCACCTGCATATAGAAATGAGGGCTCATCGCCTGTAGTTAAGTTTCTTTTCTTACAAATTAGTGGTGCTCTCAGCAATGGGGCGAAACCTTCATGCTCTCTTTTGGATACTTTGGGTGAGCCAATTCATAGCTACTCCAGAAGATAACAATTAGATTACTTTTTCCAGCCCTGTTTCAACACAAAAATTGTTTAAATGACCAAATATGTGCTGTGTGGGCTCTGAAGGAACGAGGTCAGAGCACTGGGGAATGTGGGCACCAAATCTGAGGGATCTCGGAGCTTGGGAGCCCCAGAGAGGCGCCTCGCTCTTGACTGTGAGGGTGCCTGGGATTTTGCAGGGTGCACTGTGTCGGCCCTGAAGCTCTGGCCCTTGACGACAGCTGTCACCCACCATCCAGGAAAGAAGGAGCTGCCGAGAAATGCCTTCGCCCTCACTGTCCCGAGAACTCACCTGCCACCCCAGGTCTTGGAAGCTCACATAAAGCTCATGCTTCCTGCAGGCTGTTTTTAATTCACTGCTGTTGTAATCTGTCAGAGGAGATCAAAAGATGCACACATTAACTCATTCATTCCTTCATGTAAAACTGGCCTGGAGTGTGTGCCACGTGCCAGGTGCTGTGATAGGCTCAGTGGAGCTGTGAAAACGACCCCTGTCCAAAACACAGCAGCTCCCATGGGCGGGGGGCATTCCCCATGTGTGCATAAACGCTTTCCTTACTCCACTCTGCCCACTCCAGGGTCAGTCCCCAGGACCCTACAGACTCGAATGAACATCTTTAAACAAGTAGATCTGTGTTATGCACCCTGCCAAGCCAGCAGAGGTGTGCTGAGAGGTCTGTAGGATTTGGGAGGTAACACGTCCTCATCAACAGGTGGCTGTGCCAGGCAGGATTCACTGTCCCACCGAGCCAGGAGCGCACCCTGAAGGAAGTGCTATGAAGTGGGACTCAACCAGGAGCCCTGGGAATGGGGCAGAGAGGGACACTGTGGTGACCAGGATCTCTTGCTTTGTGCTCCAGCCCCACTGCCGGGAATGAGTCCTTTTGTTGCACTAAAGCAATAACACCAAAGCCACTTCCACTCAGGAATGAGCTGAAGATTATGTACCTACCCTGAGCAACTCACTTATGAGACCTGCCCTGGTATGAGACATGTACATACATAAATCAAATACAGCTCTGAATAGAAATGCAGTGGGCTAGGGCCACTGGTAATGCCACTGGGGTTCAGAGAAAGGACAGTTCAGGGCAGGAGAGGAAAAGAGAATAGTTCTGTTGGAATGAATTGGAGGCTATGGAAGAAAGTGACAGAGCTGAAGACGTGAACGACCTACAGTCAACCACAATGATTTGGACTTTCTACCCAGGTACAAAGGGGGTCTCTGCAGGCTGCTGAGTTAGGAGTGACATACTTAGAACTGTGACTCGGAAGGACTCACTGATCTGGTAGTTGTGTTTGAATTATGTCCAAAGAGGGCAGAGAAGATTCAGGGGGAAGCGAAGACTGGAGACGAATTCTTCCTCTGACACAGACACCAGTGATTCAGAGCCCTGGTCCTACTATCTCTGCCTTGTCAGTTGCAGAAGCCGGTGAGTTACCCATTTGTCCAGTGTCTGTTGGAACTGGACTTCCATACTTGTACTCCTGGGCTTCTGGCCCTGCATCAGAAGCGCGAGCTTGTAGATTCCATGCTTTTGTAAGGAAGAGACACACAGAACCAACTCAGGCCAGTATCCCATACTGGGAAGAGACACACCAACTCTTTGAAGTAGCCGACACATTCTAAATGTATTCATCCTCCTCACTTGTGCTCAGGCAGATCTCAGAGATCTGCCTGAAGATGAACCCAGGAAAGCAGAGGCAGAAGCACACTGGAGGGAAATGCTCACAATGCAAAGCACCAGGGGCTCTTTCAGGCTCAACCACCCTCACAGGACAAGGTGAAAACCTCTTACTGAATGTAACAACAAAGAATCAGCCACACAAAGAAATATTCTCATAGGGAGAGCTGGCATGCAGGAAAGAGGAGATATAGGACCCCAGGGGCTGCATGGAAGTGTAATCTCAGGACAAGGCTAAGAAGGAAGAATGTCTGAAACAATGGAAAAGACAAAAGAAGGGCTAAAGCAAAATTACCATGGGAAAAGAATCAGGCAGTTATGAAAAAAGAACAGGTAGATGTGAAAAAGTACCAGATGGAACTTAATAAAAACAATAATCATTGAAAACAAAAGTGAAATAGATGAGCTAAACATCAGATCAGACTAACTGATGAGAGAAAGACCTGGACAACATTTTTGAAGAAACCCCTTCAAACACAGGATAGCATCAAATGGCCAGAAGGCATGGTCTGTAAAGAGATAAGGAAGAAGAGAAACACCAACATTTTTAATAGTAATTTTAAGGACAGTAATAGGGAGAGAAGCAATATTTGGAGACACAAGAGCCGAGGATTTTCTAGAACGGAAGAAAGGCAAACATCTTTACATGAAAAGGCACAAGGGGTCCTTCGCAGAACTCCTAAGTAAATTCCCATATATATGAAACACACAGAGAAATTCTCAAACATTATTCTGAGATCAAAAGAAAGCTGCTTACAAAGGAACACAAAGCAGACTGAGGGCAAAATTAACAAAAAGACACATTTGAAAATTCGCTGATAGCTGAAACTGATGCCATCAATGTAGACTCTTATGCCTAGCTGTGGATAGCGCACATATGTTTTGGTTACCTCGCTTGCAGAAACGCTCCTCATTTGGGGCGAGCTCCTGCACAGGTGGGAATCAGAGCCCCCTTTCCCATGACAGTTTCTGGCCTGGTCCTCCAGCAGCTGCAGACTGGGCTCATGCCTGCATCAAAGCCAGTCAGACGCCTCCGCCTGTAGTATTTACCTCGAGGGAGTGACTCCAAGGCTAAATCAGGAATGGCAGCCGCGGTCTGGGACAGCAGCCCGAGGTGGTATCCAAAGAACATCGTCTCTGCTACTCTCTCCGGGCTGGACTTTGGTTTGAGTTTGTTTCTTCAGCCCTTTTGTTGATTGGAGGAGGTCCCTGATGGCCTTAAACTGTTTTTAAGTGAGAGTCTGAGGCTACTGCATGGCCCCAAGAGCCCGGTGATGTTTAATGTTGTGTATCACCGAGGCTGGATTAAGGGGTGCCCCCATATGGGGTAAAATATTACTTCTGGATGTGTCTGTGAGGGTGTTGCTAAAAATATTAGCCTTTGAATCAATGGACCAGGTAGAAAAGATCACTGATATGCATATCAGCCAATCCAGTGAGGGTCCAAACAGAAGCAACATTTGGAGGAAGGGCAGTTTCTCTCTCCTCTTGAGCTGGGTCATCTGTGTTCTGCTCTGAGACATCGCAGCTCCTGGCTCTCCAGCCTTTGGATTCCAGGACTTATCAACCCACCTGACTGGCACACGGGCCGTTGGACACCACTCTCTCCTGGTTCTCTGGCATGCACACAGCATATCGTACACTTCTTGGCCTCCACAACCTAACCATGCAAACCAATACGCATGACGCATCTCCCCTGTCCCTCCAACCTCTGGTCTGTTTTTCTGGGGACCTTTGACTAATACGAGTCCTGAGTAGCTGAATTCTTCTTACTCAGTAATTAGAAGGATAGGCAGGCACAGCAGAGGAACACACTTGCTATCTCACAGGACTGGCTGGTCTTGCTCTCTGTTAAGCCACATTCAAAGCAGATACTGGCAGGAACCTTGGGAGTGAAGAAGGCTACTTAGGGGAGAATATTCTGCACTGTGGGAATGACAATGTGTGGCCCCTATAGCGTATTCCAGGAACAGTGGTGGAGGCTGCGGGCACACAGCTAGATACTTCCCTCTGCAATGAGGGGTGGCCCCAGGCCTGAACTCTGCCCACCACTCTCTCTCCTTTCCTGCCAGCTGCATGCAGGAGGTCAATCTCCTAAAGACTCCATGGCCCTGGTTCCCTTGCACTCCTGAGGACAGTGTCCCTTGAAGGTGATCCCTTCCATCGCCTCATCTGGAACGTGCTCGTGCAACCTCCATCTGCCTGGGTTCCACCAAACTAAGCTTCCGTTAAAATGTCTTCTCTCTGCAGGGGACCAAACTTTCCCAAAACTCAATTTTGGAATAATTGGCTATAGAAAAAGCACATCTACAAATGTTCCTTCTGGAGTCAGGCAAACAGAGCAGTGTGAAATAATCAAGAATATGTTTGGTGTCGGTCCTCAGACCTTGGCAGAAAACTATTGGAATTTCCTGAGTGACAGGAGTGTCTGTGTTCTACTAATGACTGGACTTTTTAGCCTCCAAAACCATGAGCAAAAATAAACCTCTTTTTCTTAGGAAGTGTCCAGACTTGGCTCTTTTGTCATAGCCATGCAAACTGGTTGGTGACCATTTTGATGTTGAGAGAATGGCGACCCCAGAGACGGGGTGCACACTGAGTCCCAGTCGTTACCTTCTTCCATCAGCTTCTTCCTTTGGCTGTTCCTAGAGAATTGTGGCCATCATAATAAAACTTTAGACAAAGCATGGAGCTTTCTTGCGCTCTAGAAGTTGTTCTAGCAAAGCGTCCACCATAGAAGAAGGAACCTGGGATCCCCATATTTATAGGAAAGTCAGTCAGAAATGTGGGTGGCCCAGGGACCTCTCCTGTGACTGGTGTCTGAAGTAGGGATCTTGTTGAGGACTTTGTCCTTTAATCTATGGGGTCTACACTCACTCCAACTGGCTTGTAACAGAATTGAACTAAACTGTAGGTGGCCTGGTTGGTGTTTGGGAATTGCTGTCAGAACACGGACAAGGACCACCTTGTCACATGTTGAGCTCTGGTTTCTTTTCCCACTCAGTGGAATCAAAGTGACACGGTCAAAGGACTTCACTTCCAACTTCCTAACAGTTCCGCTGCCTGCGGACCTGCTGTTGATCTGGCTCCCTTGATGTGCAACAAAGAGAACTTTCTCAGAAAGAACAGCTATTTCTTTCAGTGCTAGACACTGGCATTCTTGTCTTTAAGAAAGGATTGGGGCCAGAGAGAGGAAAGGGAGGAATTCAACCCTCCTGTTTTTCTTCCTACAGATACTCTCAGGCCACACTCTGGTTTTCTCATGATTCCGTGCTGAGTGCTGGCGAAGGGGTCTATGTATTTGCGAAGGCCGACGCTCCCCAGGACACTTGTTTCTGCCCCACAGGGGTTGGTGCCCTGGGTTTTACTTGGAATCACACTGACCCATGTGCTGCTTTTTGTTTTCTGTTTTGATGGGTCGACACACTGCCAAGGAACCTTCTCCTCACCCCACCACCCTTGATATTTGTTAGAGGAGAAGTCTGAAGGTGGCCAATAAAACATTATGCAGCTATAATTTAACAATAGATCTATTTCAGTGGGAGATGGGCAGGTAGCACACTGACCAAGGGCAGGGGAGACAGGAAGTGGGAAAGCTAGAGAGACGGGATGAATGAAAGACACAGACGAGGCTAATGACAGGACTCCTGAGGGCCGCTGTCCACAGTGTCCAGCTCACAGCGCATC